TTTTTTCCTCTTAAGGATTAATTATTCTTTTTTTTTTTTTGGTGATTATTGTCTTTTGTAGTAATAGTTTGATAATCCTTGGCATTTTTAAAAATGTTCTAACCATATTTGTTTTTCATTTCAGTGTGACTCTTCCTGCTTTATTGTAGTCTTGAATTATTCTTGTAGTGTTTGACTTCCCAACACCAACAGACATTGCAGCATCTCTAACAGTAATTTAAGCGTGCTCTGTAAGTCTTGTGTTTTGCATATTTCCTTGTTGTAAATCTATTCATAAAAACTACAGAATTAAAAACACAACAAAAGACAGTATCAAAATATGTTATAGCATGAAATCCTGTCCTTATATAATGGAGAACTAACTAAAGTTAGGGAATCCAACTCAATCTGGTTTAATCTGGTCAAGGTCAGATGCTCTGGGTCAGTACAGTTTGAGTGGAAATACATACAACTGACCATTGCTAACATGAAATGAAACCATATCAACATTACTGCTTGTCCCAAGCAATTTGCATGCCATTATCCTTTTCATATAATCATCTCCAACTTAAAGAAAACTAGTTACGTCTCTCTGAAGGGGGCACAGTGCTTCAGCTTTCATTACTCTTCAAATATTTTTTCAGGATTACAGGGAAACCAGGATGCTGAGGGGATCTGGAGCTTTGTCATATGAGGTTCTGTAGATGTTTAGCCTGGAGAAGACAGGCAATTTATTATTCTTCAAGTTTTTCAGAAATTATTATGTGGAAGAGATTTTAGAGTTATTTAGGGTAAATACAGAAGAACAAACTAGGGCCGATTGGTGATAGATAAAGGGAGGTAAAGTTTGGACATTCTAAGTATTAGAGCCATCTAGCAATTGAGTGGGCTGCTTTAAGAGATAGTGAAATGTCCTGTAATAAACATGGTCCTGCAGGAGCCAGAAGATCACTTATGAATGATCGAAGGATTAGATCTAAAACTGGAAGGGATTTCAGAGGTCATTTAGTCTAACTCTCTCATTTTACAGATGAGGAAACTGAGTTTATTACAGTGATTTGGGCATTGGGTAAAGCTTTGGAATACAGTAATTCTTGGTTCCCTTTCAACTCTGAGGCTCTAGGAGTATGATAACACTTTGGAGAAGTCCTTATAAGGATTAGGACAAATTCCATTGCAGTTGTCCAGGATCTGTTACACTTTCTAGTGTTAATTTTGTTAGAATATGTCTTCCAGGGGCCAAATCTGCAAACTTTTCTGCCTGACTGCCATCTAATTTTCTTTTTCAATTCTGTGTGGAAGCAAGTGGGTTTTTCCAATTTACTTGTGCGGATATCAGGCAAACGCTAAAATAATTATTTTCAGATACGCTTAATTCAACTTCTAATTCCACTGCCTTAGATCAATGCCTTAATCAAAGCTCCAGTGGTTCAAAACAGCTCCTTCTTTGCCAGGATAATGGGAAAGGAAGGTAAAGGTGGATAATTCCATGGTATTGGCAGTTTGTCTTTAACTCATTGCTTTCCTTTTCTATTTCAGGTACCACCTGCTCCTTGCACAAAGTAGGTTCATCTTATATTATTCATCAGGGGTAACAACAAATCCATTTCAGGGGCTGGCATTTGAGTCCATGCCTCCTTTGTGACTATTTCTCTGTGAGTTTTAAATCACTTGAGAGATAGGCTGTGAAGGAACTAGGAGGAATATTCCCACCCATCCATGCACACTGATAGCACGGGCTGACCATGACAAAGCTTTGGGTGGCAGAATGATGTAGTGTACAGAGTGCTTAGCTTTGAGGTTGAAGACCTAGGTTTGAGTCTCTGTTTTTTTGCTTATTTGTATTACCTGGGCCAGTTCACACAGCTTCGTTGAGCCTCTTTTCCTTCATGTGTAAAACAAGAGGGTGAGATGAAATTACTTTGAAGGTTTCTTCCAGCTCTAAATGTATGATCTTGCAAAAACATTATTGAAGTTTTAACAGGTTTAATAGATTTAATAATTTAATAGGTTAAAACTGTACAAACACATTGGGGAAATCCTTTATATGAGCCTATGAAACCTCTTTAAATTTTTCTTTTTCTTCATTTATATATAAAATGTTGGGGATGATGCTTGGTGTGCTAGATAGAGTGACAGATAGCTAAGGAGTTAGAAAACTCAGATTTGAGTTCTGCCTGGACAACTAACTAGCTGTGTAACCTTGTCCAAATCACTTAATCTTGCTTGAATTTTATTTTCTCATATGTAAAAAAAGGGATGGGGGAGTGACTAGATGGTCTTTAAGCTCTAATAATTCTATTCATATGTGCTTGTTTCAAATTTTAAAATATAGCTCATTTCAAATGAGAGATTGTCTCAAATGTAGCCACAACTTTTTTGATTATAAAATCACAGATTTAGTGCACAAAGGGACCTTAGAGGTGATGTTGTTAAAAACATCTGACACTAATTGAGTGACTTTCCCAAGTCCATATGGATAGTAATGAGAGATGAGTAAGACAGTAACAAAAAATGAGCCAAGCTAAGATCCTCTGACTTTAAAATATGACATCTTTTCATATCTCTATGTTGCTGACAAGAAAATTTTCCCTGCATTACATTGATTACACTGACTGTTTTCTCAGTGATTTTTATTTCTAATCAGGACATATTTTTTACATTTACCTTAAGTTTTGCCAACTCACCAAAAATAAATGGAGGGAGGGCACAGATTATTTGCTATTTAATGAAATCTGTCTTGCTTTCTATTTCCATTGTCACCAACATAATTTAAACTGCATATTATACTCACCTTGGTTCATTGAAATACTGTTGCTTACCAAATAAAGATTAACCTCCTTATCCTATTCAACATCCTTCCTAATATGACTCCAACTTATGACTTAATAGCTTTATCCATCACCACTCTCTTCTATGTTCCAGCCAAACTCTATTAAGATCTTGCCTTTTTTTTCCCCCTAGGCAATTGGGATTAAGTGACTTGCCCAGGGTCACACAGCTATTATGTGTTGTGTCTGAGACCGGATTTGAACTCAGGTCCTCCTGACTTCAATGCCAGAGTTCTATCCACTGTACCACCTAGCTGCCCCTGATCATGCCATTTTCTTTTTTTTCCTTTTTTTTTTTTATTTTTAGGCAGTTGGGGTTAAGTGACTTGCTCAGGCTCACACAGCTAGTTAAGTGTTAAGTGTTTGGTCTGAGGCTGGATTTGAACTCAGGTCCTCCTGACTTCAGGGCCAGTGTGATCATGCCATTTTCTAAGAATGTGCCTTGTGCTTTCTCACATCTGCACAGAGAAGTATGTTTATTAATTGTGGTCTCTCAGTGGTGGTGGTGATGAGTAGAATGAGGGTCTGCCTTTTGATCCACCCTGTTCTGACTTATGATGGACCACATCCTAGCACACTTCTCACTGTGGAAAATGCTTCTGCTTTTTTTGTCTTCTCATCCTGGAGGATACCTCTGCTCTAGCAATACCTTTCTCTAATTGGTGAGTTCTTCTCAGAACCTCCTTTTGGGAAAATTTGAAGGCTAAAATGTTTACTCCTTTACTCCTCTCCTAGTTCTGCTCCTTAGTCTTCGGACTTTTCCACCATGCCCACAGTGTGTGTATCTTCTCTAATCGTCATCCCCTTCCTGGCTTTTCAGCTTTCTTTTATAACTTATCTATCCGTATTAGACTTTGAGATCAGGGACCATCTTTCTGGTTAACAAGTTTATTTCCAGTTCTTAGCACATATGTACTATATAGTTAGTACTTAATAAAGGGTCATTATTTGTCTCCCATGCTTGGGATTTTCTCTCTCCTCATCTCTGCTTCCTGGCTTCCTTCACATCTCAGCAATTTTACCTTGTATGTATCTTTTTTGTACATAATTGTTTACATGTTGTCTTCCCTATTAGGTTGTGAGCTCCTCAAGGGCATGGCCTGTTTTATGTTTCATTTTGTTTTTGTTTTTGCCTTTCTCTGAATCCCTAGTACTTAGCATAGTAGTGCTACCCCTTAGTAAGCACTTAATAAATGCTTGCTATTCCACACAACTCCATCCACTCCATCTCCAGGAAAATCTTTGGAATATGTAGTTCCTTGAAGACATTTGAGCAAAAATAGACATGAAGATTTTTAAAAGATTATCCTAGCAGCCATACAAAAGGAAGCTTGGAAGTAGGCAAAGGGCAAAAAGGTGACAAGACCTTTTAGGAAGCCATGATAGTAGCCTTAGAATCATATCTACAACTGGAAGCAATCTTATAAGTCACCTAGTTTAATTCCCTCATTATACAGGTGAAAAAACTGACTTGCCCATAGCCATGAAAATGGAGGTAGTTGCGGTGGGATAGAGAGTAGGTGATGGATGTGAGAGTTGTCCTGGAGGTATGATTGAGAAGAATTAAAGGGAACCCCAAGATTTCAAACATGAAAGGTGGTGAATAGTGGTGCCACCAACAGAAAAATTAAAGCAGGAAGGATGAAAAGGTTTAGTTGAAAAGCTCACTTTTTCATGTTGAATTTGAGGGATTGGTCATTATTTCATGAGGGATACACTCAGGCAGTTGGGTCTGAAACCCAGAAAAGAAGGAATGGCTGGAAATAATAGATTTTGAATTCATTTTCATTGAGGTTGTGGTTGAATCCATGGAGATGAAAAAATTTCCAAGAGAGAGTATAGGAAATGAAGACTGCATGGTAATTCATATTAAAAATAGAAAGGTGGGAGCAGAATGAGGGTGATACTCTGCCTTTGAAAGTGAAGGAGGAGAGAATGTACAGTAAAGAACTGTAGGGGCAGCTAGGTGGCACAGTGGATAGAGTAGATAGATCACACTTCTGAAGTCTTTCAAAGTTTTGTTTTATATTGTTATTATTACAGAAATTATTTTCCTAGCTCTATTCACTTCACTCAGCATCAGTTCATATGGGACTTCACGGGTTTCTCTGAAACCCTATATTGTGTCATTTTTCATAGTACAGTCATATTCCATCACATACGTATGTCATAATGTAGTTTAGCCATTCCCTCATAAATAGGCACCATCTCAGGTTCCAGTTCTTTGCTACCACAAAAGAGCGAATATAAAGACTTTGGTATATGTGGATTCTTTTTATATTTATTTATTTTCTCTGGGGTATAGACTTTTTTTGTGGTATAGATGGATCAAAGGGAGCAAATGCTTCATTGACTTTGAGAGTAGAATTTCAGAATGGCTGTACCTAAGATAGTTTTTTCTTTGAGACTTAACTTGACCCGAGGCCTTAGACTTCAACCACAGAGGTAGGTAGGTAGGTATATAGGAAGATAGGTAGGCCTAAGGATAAAAGTCATCTCAGAAGGAGTGAGGAGCAGTTCCTTCTGACTTGACACACACTTCTGAATGGTGTGTCTGCATGGCCAATGCAAAAGCAGGGATATTGTGCCCAACAGAATTAATGATGTGGTCATGCTGAATAGACTTCCATAGATGGTTAATAAGTTTTCTCATGTTGGAAGATCTATGAGCATCTTTTTATTTTTTAAATCCAGTCCCAAACCTAAACCACCAGATTGATTTAAATCAGGCCTATCCTACAACATAATTCAATAGTGTCAAGAGCTGCAGAAAGATGAGAGAAAAAAAAATAAGCATTGGTTTTGCTCATTAAAGGTTATAAAGGACTTTTGAGAGAGTCATTTCAGTAGAGTCTTGGGGACAGGTGCCAGATTGTAAGGGGTTGAGGAGACAATGGAGGAATAGGGGGTGCACAATATTTTCTCAGAAATGTAGCTGTGAAGCATGGAAACAGATAGAATGGTAGGTGGATGAGGGTAATGGGGCCAAGGGAATGAGGTTTTTTTTTTGGGGGGGGTGGGATTAGGGAGATCTGAGAATGTTTGTAGACATAATGTCAGGAACTAGTGGAGAAAGGAGAGATTGAAAATTCAGGAGTGAGATTGGAGGACTACTTAATAAGTTTCTTGGAGGATGCAGGAGGGAATGTATATAAGGAATAGGTTAGTTAGTGAGGAATAGAGAAATATCTTTGACTTGAGGAAAGGCTTTTTAAGATATGAAAATGACCATATATGAAACTGTGACTGAGACTTTTCTAAATTTTCTAGACTTTCTGAGCAAGGTAGACATTTAGAGAGGCCCTTGTACATAGGAAATGCTTAATAAATGTTTGTTCAATGTCAGCTGCTCAGTTAACTACTGCAATTCTTGCATTACTAAGTCTGTATTTGGAACTCCCCCAGTTCTTGCTTTCTGTGAGGAGTCAATTAGGATTTGAATCCTAGTAATTGCCTATAGAGATTTTTTTTTGGAAGAGGAAACTTCAGAAGAGAAATATTCATCTTTTTAAAAATTCATCTGAAAAATAAAAAGATCTAAGGTTTTTTAGGAAGTTTCAAGATAAGTCAACAGTGGCATATGATCATCAAAAAGCAAATATGATTGTAGGCTGTATTAATACAATAATGATGTCCAGCATGTAGGAGATGATAATTGCACTGTACCAGGGCCTGGCCAAAACATAGTTGGAATATTGTGTTCAGTTCTAGGTACCACATTTTAAGAAGCAACTTGGTAAGTCAGAGTATCTAGAGAAAATATCTAACAAGCTGTTGAGGAGACCATGCTGTAAGAGAATTGGGGGAGGAATTGCAGATGTTTATATAGCCCTCGATACAGTAGGGTACCACTGTACAAAGTGCTTGCTTTTCCCTGAAGTTTTCATCTTTAGTTGACAAAAGGAAATGGAAGTGTGAAAAGAGACATGCTTGAGGACCTACAAAAGATTACAATCAAGCTAGCTTAAAAGCCAAGGAAGTACTTTTCTTTTTTCTTTCTAAAATATGTTTTATTTTATTAAATATTTCCTAATTATATGTAAAAATGTTTACCATTCATTTTATGAAATTTTGAGTTCCAAATTCTTTCCCTTCTTTCTGCCTCTCTCCCACACATTGGGAAGGGAGGCAATATATTGATTATACATGGGAAGTTATGCAAAAAAGTATTTCCATATTAGCCATGTTGCAAAAGAGAACCAACACATATATACATGAAGAAAAACAAAATGAAAAAAAAGTATGCTTCCATCTGTGCTCAGAGTTCAGTAGTTCTCTCTCTGGAAGTGGATAATATTTTTCATCATGGGATCTTTAAAATTATCTTGGATCATAATGTTGGTCAGATTTTCAGAGGACAGAGGCTTTGGTTCTTTCCTAGCTCTTATCATTCTGAGTTTTGATCTTGCACAATACTTTCTGGGAGCAATGGTACTCCCAGTGTATGGTTGAGAGAATACATAAACATCTAACCATGTGGGTGTCCAAGGGACAGCCACCCAAACCCGAACCCAGTTCCTTTACAGCTCAAGCTCTGAGTCAACTGCTCTTTTTTTAAAATTAATTACTTTTAGTTTTCAATGTTCACTTCCACAAGATTTTGAGTTCCAAATTTTGTCACCATCTTGCCACTCCCCACACCCCAAGATGGTGTGCATTCTGAATATGTCTTCTCCTAATCTGCCCATACTTCTATCATTCCCCTTCTCTTATTCCCTTTGCCTTCTATTTTCCTGTAGAACAGGATGGATTTCAATGCCCACTGCCTGTATATCTTATTTCCCAGTTGCATGTAAAAACAATTTTTAACATTTGTTTTTAAAACTTTGGGTTCCAAATTTTCTCCCTTCCTCCCTCCCCACCCATCCTCATTGAGAAGGCAAGCATCTCAGTACAAGTTATACATTTGTAGTCATTCAAAACACTGCCAATAGTAATTACATTGTGAAAAACTATATTTCCCTTCATCCTATCCCACCCCCTGTTTATTCTGTTCTCTTGTTTGACCCTGTCCTCCTCAGAAATGTTTGCTTCTGATTATCCCTTCCCCCAATCTTCCCTCCCTTCTGTTATCCCCCCACTCTCTTATCCCCTTCCCTCCTATTTTCCTGTAGGGTAAAATAGTTTTCCATACCCAGTTGAGTGTGTGTGTTATTCCCTCCTTAAGCCAAATCCAATGAGAATAAAATTCTCTCATTCCTTCTCACCTTCCCCCACTTCCCCTCCATGGTAAAAGCTTTTTTTTGTCTGTTTTATGTGAGATAATTTACCCCATTTTACCTCTCCTTTTCTCCTTCTCCCAGTATAATCTCTCACCCGTTAATTTTATGTTTTAGATATCACTCCTTCAACTCACCTTGTGCCCCCTGTCTGTCTGTCTGTCTCTCTCTCTCTCTCTCTCTCTCTCTCTCTCTCTCTCTCTCTCTCTCTCTCTTTTCCCCCTCCAACAGCCCTACTACTGACAAAGGTCTCATGAGTTAAAAATATCATCTTTCCGTGTAGGAATGTAAACAGTTCAATCTTAATAAGTACCTTATGATTTATCTTTCCTGTTTACCTCTTCACACTTCTCTTGAGTCTTGTATTTGACAGTCAAATTTTCTATTCAGCTCTGTTATTTTCATCAAGAATGCTTGAAAGTTCTCTATTTTACTGAATATGCAATATTTCCCCTGAGAGATTATACTCAATTTTGCTGGGTAGGTGATTTTAGGTTGTAATCCTATCTCCTTTGACCTCTGGAATATTATATTCCAAGCCTTCCAGTCCCTTAATGTAGAAGCTGCAAAATCTTGTGTTATCATCATTGTGTTTCCACAAGACTAGAATTGTTTCATTCCAGCTGCTTACAATATTTTCTCCTGGGAACTCTGGAATTTGGCTATAATATTGCTAGGGGTTTTCCTTTGGGGATCTCTTTCAGGAGGTGATCAGTGGATTCTTTCCATTTCTGTTCTACGCTCTGGTTCTAGAATATCAGGAGAATTTTCCTTGATAATTTCTTGAAAGATGATGTCTAGGCTCTTTTTTTGATCATGGATTTCAGAGAGCCCAATAATTTTTGAATGATCTCTCCTGGATCTATTTTCCAGGTCAGCTGTTTTTCCAATGAGATATTTCACATTGTCTTCTATTTTTTCCATTCTTTTGGTTTTATTTTACAATGCCTTGCTTTCTCATGAAGTCATTAGCTTCCATTCGCTCCATTCTAATTTTTAAGGAAGTTTTTTTTTTTCAGTGAGCTATTGGACTTCCTTTTCCATCTGACTGATTCTGCTTTTTAAGGCATTCTTCTCATTGGTTTTTTGGACTTCTTTTGCCATTTGGATTAGGCTATTTTTAAGGTGTTATTTTCTTCAGTATTTTTTGTCTCCTTTGGCAAGCTGTTGACATGTTTTTCATGATTTTCTTGCACCATTCTCATTTCTCTTCCCAGTTTTTCCTCTACATCTCTTACTTGCTTCTCAAAATCTTTTTGAGCTCTTCCATGGCCTGGGACTGATTCCTATTTTCCTTGGAGGCTTTGGACGTAGGAACTTTGACTTTGTTGTCTTTTTCTGGTTGTATGTTTTGATCTTCTTTGTCACCAAAGAAGGATTCCATGGTCTGACTTTTTTTTTTTTTGCACAGTTTGCTCATTTTCCCAGCCAATTACTTGAGTTTTAAACTCTTTGTTGAGGTAAACTTCCAGTGTGGAGAATGTATTGTCACAAGCTTTGGGGGTTTTGTGCAGCTGTTTCCAGAGATAATTCTAGGGACCTACTTTCTTTCAAGGTGGTATGATCAAGGGTGAGGTATTCACTCCTTTCCTAGCTGCCATTACAACCTCCACTTCACTATTGCCTCACCTCATTTTGCCACAGGATTGCCACCCAGAACTGTAATCCAGATCCAAGCATGGGTAATCAGCACCAGCAAAAAATCCCTGCAATCCTCCTCTGATCAGGCACTTGATTTCCTCTTTCTCAGTGGACTGAGAACTCTAGAAGCAGCCACTGCCCTTGGGTGGGTCTGGGAGTGGGACAGAGCTTCTCTTTCACCTTGGTCACAGACCTTTCCTACTGACCTTTGTTGTCTTTGGCTTTTGTGGGTTGGTAAGTCCAGAAACTGCCACAGCTGCCTGTGATTCCTTCCCTTGAACCCTGCTCCAGGTTTGCTGAGGCCTGGTCTTTGCCTGTACAGCCTGTGCGGCCCATGCTGAACTGTACTCCTCTTCCAGCCTGGTGCAACAGATCTATCTAATCAACCATCCAGGTTTCTTTCACTCTGTCTTTTTGTGGGTTCTGCTGCTCTAGAATTTGTTTAGAGACATTTTTTACAGCTATTTGATGGGGTTTGGGGGAGAGCTGAAGCAAGTAACTGCTTTTACTCCACCATCTTGGCTCTGCCTCCTGAGGCAACTGTTCTAACTCTCACTTCCTACAATTACATAATAGAAGCTAGAAAAAAGTGAGTTCAGGCTCAGAGAACATAGCAAAAGAGAAACTCACAACTCTTGATTCTTGGAAGGGCTTATTTATTTATTCATTCATTCATTAATTCTTTTTTTTTTAAATTCTTATTGGATTTCTCAAGGGATTCTCTTTAGGTACGATTTTGCTTCCTTGTAGGGTCCCTTGTGGAACAGTAAGTCTGAATCCATTCTGTCTTTGGCTCTTGATGCAGATACTGATGCAAGTTGTTCCAGGGATGCTGCTGAGAAGCTGATGGGAAGATGAAAGGAGGAAAGGAGTAAAGGGAAGGAAGCCAAGGTCTTAGACTATCCCCCACTAACTTCACCCACTCAAAGTGATTCCTTCTTAGAGGTGGCTCATTACTACTTAATTTTTAATCTCTTTCAGACTTGAACTGTCTTAAGGTATCATAAACTATCTCTAGGGCATGACCAAATTTTCAAAGCCAACTGGAACCCTTCCATCATGTTGTCACTTTCAGTTCATCCAGTGGTTCATCAAAGACATCTAAATTGATAAAGGCATATTCATAGTTAGTTGGAATGACCTTGAGAGCAGAATGTTTAAAAATGCACTTTTACAATGATCTTGGAATTTGTGTGCTTCCTTGTTCCCTGGGAGAGCAAAGCGATATGAAGCAAAAGATGCCTAGTGGAACTGATAATTCCCACTTTATTAAAAGCATTTGGGACTGCTCTTTTGTACTCAGATCTTAATGTTCTGCACTTTCCTTTCATTTATCATATAGTGATATATATATATATATATATATATATATATACATATACATGTATATTTTATGTACATAGTGATTTTGTGTGTGTGTGTGTGTGTGTGTGTGTGTGTGTGTGTGTGTGTGTGTGTGTGTGTGTTTTGTAGGGGAATGACATCCTGGGGAGGGAAGAAGAGATTGGTTTAAGAAACATGAGCTGAAAGTGATAAATTATTACTGGAAAATCAGATTCTCTAGACTTAAACACAGAAAGCCCTAGGGAGTTTAAATAGGTTGAGATGGGTAGAACAGCTGGTGTTATCTGCCCATATAGTGTGAATGAGCTGGTACCTTAAGGCTAAAATAATTTGTGAATTCACACATGCTCTCTCAATTGAGCAAGTCTTGTGAGATTAGAGTGCCACCATCTGGTTGGCCTATATACAATACCTCAAGCAGCTATTCCAAGCCATGTGTTTCATTTACCCTGAAGAAAAGAAAACCAATGGAGTAAATAATAATAACAATAGAGATTGCATGGGAGAGGCATGATATTTCTTTTCAGTTATTCAAAAGATAGTCTTGTGCAACAGATATCAGACTTTTCTGCTTGACTCTGGAAGGCAGAAGTAGAAGCAATGGGTAGAAATTGCAGATATTTCAGTTCAATATATGTTAACATTTTTGAATATTTAGAGTTATCCAAATATGGAATGGTCTCTTTTCAGTAGTACTTGTTTCCTTCTTATTTAAGGTGTATGAGCAATGTTTGGATCACCCTCTCACTGGGAATATTAGAATGTAAACTCCTTGAAATTGAGGATTGTTTTATTCTTTGTACTTGTATCTCATAGAGCTAGGCACATAGTATGTGCTTTATAAGTTCTTGTTGACCTATGGATGTTGAGGAGGGAATCATTAGTCAGATGTGAATTGTATTAGATGGCTTTTAAGATTGCTTTCAATTCCCTCATTCTGTTAATCCTCTCTACTTATTTGAGTTCTCTTTCCCCCTCCTATTTAATCTCTTGATTCTATTTTCACATTCTGCCACTGGACAAGATGAAACTCTTTATTCTTTGGAAGGTAAGTATATTTTAGATTTGGCATGATTTTATTTCAGCGATTCTTCTCAAGTCACCATGTTCTTGACAATGAGTCTCTTTTTGGAATCTGACTACTTTATGTTTTGGTAACAGAGAATTTCCATATGCTTCCCATTGAAGATTAATGATTATGTTTAGTTTCTTTAGAGCATTAATTAACCCACAGAACACCCTGGAGAGTATGTTATTATCTTCAGTTTATAGATGAGAAAAAGACAGAGATTTAGTTACTTAGTTACTCGATTGTATTATCTCTCCAAGCCTAAATCTGGGGATGAACACATTTCTTGAAGATTTATAAAAGTAATTACTCCATCTTTATCTAAAAAATATGTTGATGACTTGGAAAAGAAGCAAAACAAATATGCTTAGAACCATATGATTTTAGAGGCAAAAAGGGGCAACAGAGATCATTTAATATCACACCCTCAATTTAGAAAGGAAAATACATTGAGGAGATGAGTTCTCACGTCACATAGCTAAGTAGTAGAACTGTATCCAGAATGTATGTGTCCCTATTCTCTATCCAGTCTTCTTTATGCTACAATTTGTTTCTTTAGGACTAATTCTCTTTTATGCTTTATGCAAATTCTAGGTGAATCAACCCTTGCCTATAATTTGCAAGCCAAAAGATAGTTTTGTTTGTCTTAATGGGAATTGTGGGGAGGGGATAGAGATATTTATAAATGTCAACTCACAATTCAAATTCAACAAATTCTTATAATAATAAAAGCTAACGTTTATATAGGCTTACTCTGTGCCAGGAGCTGTACTAAATACTTTACAATTATTATCTCATTTGATTCTCACAACAACCCTGGCAGGTAAGTGCTATCTGTTTAAGATTTCAACTCAGGTCTTTTTGATACTAGGCCCAGTTCTCTATCCATCACACTATCTAGCTGCAACCTTTATTAAATGTTTAAAGTAAAAATAAAAGCTAAGTGAAGCTATATAGCTTGTCCTTCCAACAATATACCATACTCTGGGCATCTGCTTGATCTTTTCTACGTGGATAGTTAGGCCATCCTCTTTTAAGGGATTGCTAATCTCATCTATTGTTTCAGAGATTGATACAATTAGCAGAATATCATCCATTTATGGGAGAACCTGGAAGATCTCTTCACATGTAGAGAATTGCTCTTTGATCTGGACTCTATGCTGGATCTCCTCCATAACTGTGGTAAATATTCTGCGAAGAATAAAACTGTTTTATTCTTCACCTGATATTCATAATCACAGGATTGATGAACTGGATGATCTCTGTGTACAGAATTGAACAGAAGAGAGATAGTGGTCTAGATTTCCTTTGTGAAATGACTCCAAGCTGCTTGCTAAAACAAAAGCCCATTTTAATGCCATTCATCTGCTGATGTCATATGTCTATAAATCATGGTACATAGCAATCAATGAGAAAGACAATGGAGAATGGCTTGGTGGTTAAGAGCAGATTACAACATGTTCCACATCGAAGATATGTATGATCAAGAAAGAAGAGAGCCTGGCCATGTGGTGACAATGAAGTACAGTAATTAGACAATCTTTTTGTGCTGCCATTATTATTTTCAGGATATTAAGAGAAAGTGAGACAGATACCCACCTCATTTCATGCATATCCTGTAGAATACTTTTGGGAGGGCACAGAACAACTCTGAAGAACATGGACAGACATAAATGGTTTGAATCATTGAGTCATATCATTAGAAAGAATTGAGAAGAATGAGATCATAGGTTAATTTGTGCAAGGCAAGGTACTAGGTTGTGGGGTTCCAAAGGCAGACTCAACATTGTTCCTGTCTTTAAAATTTAAAATCTGTATTAGACATAGTACGGATTCCCAAAAGAAAAGTACAGCTTGGATAAAGACTATGGATGACAACTGAACTTTCTTCTCTCTAATATTACATTCTCTTCCAACTAAGAGTTCAGAATATATCTTTCCAACTTGGGGTGCTGGATGATTAAAAGCACAAAACCACAACAAAATATGATAAGGAATTTTCTTGAAACATTCCTGGTGTATTCATGGGCCATGTATATACAGAACTTGCATTACTTGACCATAATCTTCTGAGTATTAAAGATTTGGAGAATTAGAAAAAGAAGGGACCTCACTGATTATCTAATCCATCTCACTTCTTTTTACAAGGAAACTGAGACCCAGAGAAGTTAAATGATTGTTCAGGGTCACATTAGTTATTCAAAATAGGGCTCTGAATCCAATACAGGTTTTGTTTCTTTTTGGTTTTTACTTAAACTACAGTGTTCATATCACCCTATCACGTTCCCTCTGGTTGCTTTGATTTTAATCATCTATTTCTACTTAAAAAGAGAACCCAGCAGTCTAATTTAAGATAAGCAAATATTTTTAATTGACTTTCATGTAGAAAAGAGAGAATTCTCCTAATGTGGTATGTATTTAGGTAAAATGACATATGTGCCACTCACAGGAGTACTTAATCACTGGCACTAACAGATTTGCTACATATTTATAATACTATATATGGGCAAGTCACCATATACTACACTAAATCCTGAGTTATCTACTCAAGTGACTTCACAGATCCAAGCAGGAACTCTTACCTCTAGGTTTTGCATCTTTTTGAAGCCTTCCACAAAGCATGGATGGGAAGGTGAGAATGAGAAGGACCTACGTTTTTGGCTTTTGATGCTGTTCTAGCATTTTCTCTGATCTAAAGGTCTGATGTAATGTCAACAGAATTCATATTATCATGACTTCTTTTCTGCTCTATTCATAATGATCTTACTCTTTTCTCCAATTTCTTGTGACCGTGAAGGATTACTCATCCATTTATAGATTATAGCTCATTTATTAAGCAAAATAAAAATGTGACAGATGCAAAGTTTAAACCCACCAAGCCTTGAGGAAGCCACAGCCACTAACGTTTGGGCTTGAACTTTCCAACTTGCACACTTATTTTCTTGAGCTTTGCCTCTTGATGTTGTCGCTGAAATGATTGCTCATGAAAGGGCCTTATATCTAGTGGTGCTTTACAAAATTGTTGGGGGTTGAGATTCTTGGCTTATCTCTAAGCCTAAGTTTTTTTCATTCTGTCTCACTGCATGGCTAGGAAAAATTGTCCATTCCAATGCACAATTTTAGGACAGCAATCACTTTCTGGCCAATCAGCAACTGACATTTTTTTGTCCTAGGTGTCAGTGAGCAGGTCACTAGGAAATACAAGATGAGTCATTATCTCAATATCTTTTTTGTTGCTCAGTCATTCAGTCATGTCCAACTCTTCATGATCCGTTGGACTATAGCACACCAGAGCCTTCCATCCTCCACTGCCTCTCAAAGTCTACCCAAGTTCATGTCTGTTGTTTCCATGACACAATCTATCCACCTCTGCCCTCCTCTTTTCCTTTTGCCTTCAATCTCTCCCAACATCCATTTTTTTTCAGTGAGTCCTATCTTCTCATTATGTGGCCAAAGTAACCTTCAGCTCAATTTGACCTTCAAACTTTTCTTTAAGTATTGACTGATTTGACCTCTTTGCTGTCCAAAAAAC